AACATCGGCAAAAATCAAACATTTTCCCTACTTTGAGCTCCATTTCAAGGTTCTTTTCATAGTAAAACCAATCAAAATCACCTCTGTTTCTATAATATGTTTTCCATTCTGTCAAATGAGACCAAGAAAATGAGAATACAACCATAAATACTATAAGAAAATAGACCACAAAGTTGGCATTTTAATTAAAAAAAATGGTCGGAGTTTTTTTTTTCTCATTATGCACTGCATGCTCCAGGATTTTTTTTATATGGTGCACACTGACCACACAGACCCATTCTCTCACATGTGGGCCTACCAGCTTTCTCCTGCTTGATTTGAATCCACTAGAATTTGTGAGTATATACAGTGGACCCCTGTTAGCGATATTTTTTCATTCCAGAAGTATGTTCAGGTGCCAGTACTGATCGAATTTGTTCCCATAAGGAATATTGTGAAGTAGGTTAGTCCATTTCAGACCCCCAAACATACACGTACAAACGCACTTACATAAATACACTTACATAATTGGTCGCATTGGGAGGTGATCGTTAAGCGGGGGTCCACTGTATATGTCAAAACGGTGGCTCATAAGACGTATATATACGACCAAAACAGTCAAAAGGTTAAAACTCTCAGAAAAGTTGTGGTGTATGATCCTAACTTTGGTGTAAATGATGCACTGGTATATACTTTATGTAAGAATATTGATAGATTATTATTAACCAGTTATAACCATTTCACTGTCTCATAAAGATCTACATCACTGAGGTTACTGTCACTGAAGTAGATCAACATCACTGAGGTCAGTGCCATTGAAGTAGATCAACATTACTGAGGTCAGTGCCATTGAAGTAGATCTACATCACTGAGGTCAGTGCCATTGAAGTAGATCTACATCACTGAGGTCAGTGCCATTGAAGTAGATCTACATCACTGAGGTCAGTGCCATTGAAGTAGATCTACATCACTGAGGTCAGTGCCATTGAAGTAGATCTACATCACTGAGGTCAGTGCCATTGAAGTAGATCTACATCACTGAGGTCAGTGCCATTGAAGTAGATCTACATCACTGAGGTCAGTGCCACTGAAGTAGATCTACATCACTGACGTCAGCACCACTGAAGTAGATCAACATCACTGAGGTCAGTGTAGCTCACAGTTCTACATCACTGAGACTAGTGCTGCTTACGTAGAGCTACGTCTTAATCATAGGGCATCCATAAATGCTGTGGTAAATTCTGGCACAGATGTGACAGATTGGGTCTGTGTGGTGGGTATGCATAGTACAAAAAGAAAGTCCTGCCCGTCACATTGTGTTTGGGTTAAAATAATGACTTTGAGGCATATTTTCTAGGGTAGTGCTCATGGTTTTATTATCTGCTGCTTGGTGTCATTTGATAAACAAAATAAAGATGTTTTTGAATGGCTTTAGGTCAGAAATAGCCTGAAATAAGCCCCAAAGCAATGGAAATATTCAGTTTTTGGTGATTTTCATTCTTGGTTATATTTTATTACCTGAGAAATAGGGCAAAACTTATTTTTTTGTGTGTGAAATCAAAATGTGGGGGGAAGGCATTTCTTATACAGGAGAGGCCTGGGATTGTGATTAATGAAGAAAGGAAAGGTTATTTAGTGGCTGGAACGCCTGCACTGTTTATTTCAGACTCTGCTTTTAAATGGGAACTTGTTAAATTTTATATAAAACTGGGCAAATAAGTGACTTTTGGGCACTTTATGGGGCATGCTAGTGAAATAGTGAGGAATTAGGTCAAGTTGGACAATAAGCCTCATAGTGGGTGAAATTGCAGTTGCATAAACTGCTCCCTAACCTCCAGTTTTATGCCTGCATAATTCCATATGTTTTCAATTATATTTTGCATTTTTGGTGTCATTACCTTTAGAAAAAAGATTCTCTACCATTTTAGAAGATAATTTTTTTTTTAAACTGCAACACTGATGGGATTTTTAACCCTTTCACTGTCAAGACCCTCACAAACTTGCTCTCACTGTTGAAGAATTTTCAGAAAAAAAAAAATTCTTATGAAATGATAGTCTGTTCTCAATGGTAATGAAACCAAAAGTACAAAATTTGATGGAAAACATATGAAATCATGCTCTCGCATATTTAGCAGTCCCGGCGATATTTATGCATTGGCGATTTCACCCAATTTGAGTCCTATTTTGGGCCAATTCCATTATTCCAGTCAACTATATTCATAGCAATTTGACTAGAACTCCTTTTGTTCTGTCGATGGAGTACAAGAAACCACCCATTAACCTATTTCAGCTACTCAATAAAGTGATCAGAAATTGGTAATTTGGCTAATTTCACACAAATTTCAAGAAAGGCCAATTTACTGTTATACAGACTACTGCATTATTGCAAAAATGGTATAAACAATGTTAGCACATTTGTGAAAGCATATTAGACCCACCAGTTGATGTGTATTGGATGCGTGATGTGATTTGTTTACTCTTGAACATCAGCAAAAATAGAACATTTCCACTAATTTGAGTTCAATGTCAAGGTACTTTTAATCTCTAAAGCATTCAAAATCATGTCTATTTCTATAATATATCTTCCATTCTGTCAAGTGAGACCAAGAAAACGAGAATACAACCATAAATACCATACGAAAATACACTGCAGAGTTGCTGTTTTAAACCAAAAGCACAGTTGCCTTTTGTTTTCTCATTATGCACCGTGTGCTGCAGGATTTTTTAATACTGCACACACTGACCACTCAGACCCATTCTCTTATATGTAGGCTTACCAGCTATCTCCTGCAAGATTGGAAGCTGCTAGAATTTTGGGCATAGTATTACGGGACTGATATTGCCTTCAAAGCCATAACATTACGGGACCAACAGTGAAAGGGTTAATTTTGGGGGTACAACAGTGAAAACACAAATCCTGCAACTCCATGAAAATTATTGAAAAACTTGAAAAACACTAAATACACGTAATGCTCTAAGAATAATTCTTAGTTGCCCTGTAACCACCAGAATGCTTAATATGAGGAAAGAATTAGTTATACCTAGTGTTGCTGATAGAATGCATGAAATTAATATTGTGATATTATTGAAGTTGCTGCATGGTGATCAAAACAACGTTGTCTGTAGAGAATTTCCGTATTTTGTGGCTTATTAGGCTCATTTTTTTCCATAAAATGTCTCCAGAAACCACCCAGCATCCTATAAACTGAAGGTCAGTGATGGTAGCTATAAGTTTGGGGTGTGGAGTGGGCTGTAGCTTTTCCAGTTATGGCCGATGCCAAGCCATTGAAACCAAAACGAGTCTTATAAGCCCCGAAATACGGTACTATAATATACCATAACTCAAAATAGAAACTACTTGACCTTGGAATAGAGGGAGGGAGATAGGCAGAAGCATGTCAGAATGTTCCAACCTATATCCTAAGACCTGTGGTCATGAAAAAGAAAAAGCAAGCCCACATAATACCCTATGTCTATAAATAGGTGATGAGTGGCCAAGAGATGCAAGAAAAAATATTACGTATTTGTATTAAAGGATAAGTATCCCTTTTCAAAATATTGGGGCAGCAGGGAACCTGAGAGTGTGCACCAAGCTATCAGATGACTTAGTTGGCAGCACTCACATCACATACTGAGTGTCCATGGTTCAGACCCTGGCATGAGTGGAAATGTTGGGCATGTTTCCTTACACCTGCTGTCACTGTTCACCTAGCAGTAAGTTGGTACCTGGGTGTTAGTCAACTGGCGTGAGTCGCATCCTCAGGGAGAATATTGAAGGATTCCAGTGGAAATAAGACAGACGGTCCTTGATGACTCACTGACTTGGGTTATCCTGGGTGGCTAACCCTCTGGGTTAAAAATCCAATATCCTATCTTAACTACAGAGGGCTGTAGATGAAGTATATGGTGTCCTACATTGCCATGATCTTGCCTGAAAAGACAGCAGCACTACCACTCACTCATTGACTACTTAACAGAATGAGAAACCCAAGTAGCTTGTAGCCAAGGAAGATGTGCAAAAAATACATTCATGGAACACTGCCCTACCCATTTGCATGCCTGAAAACATAGGAAGATGTTTGAAATCATTGTGGAGGGAAGCAAGAATTTGTTGTCACCTTAAGAGCTTCCCTCACAGGAACCAGGAAGGAAAGATCACTAAGACACATGACTGTTGGAAGGTTGCCTTCAGATGACCATAAATGACACACACAGGATCCTTCACTACATGACTCCTAGCATCATCCTCTAAGGATGCTGCACATGTATGAAGTGATCTGGATGCAGCATTTCACCAACAAGGAGAGTAGTTGTTGGGCACCCAGGCAAAGTGAAAATCATTTGCCTCTAACCAACCTCTAGCCTGAGACAACAGGCTGTACCAGTAATGAACATAGCCATCCTAGAGGCATCCTAGAGTAAGAGCAAATGAGCAGAGGTGTTGATTGCACAACAACTGGTGGGTAGCTGGAAGTTAGGTAACTAGAGTGACTGGACTGTAGGGGGAGAGAGAGAATCTAATAGATAGACAAAGCAGAATGAGGCTTATTGAGCTGATTATTGAGAGAGAATTCTGGTTGATATTATTTTAAAGCAAGGGGCTAGTAACCCCGTTTCCTGTATAAATTATTAAATTTAAAAAGAAAATTTTTATAGTTTTCTTCTTTATTGGGTCATCCTCCTTCAGTGGTCACCTTGCCTGAATGGTCACCCTGCCTTAGTGATCACCCTGCCTCAGTGGCTACCCTGCCTTAGTGGTCACCCTGCCTCATTGGCCACCCTGCCTCAGTGGTCACTCTGCCTCAGTGTCACCCTGCCTCAGTGGTCACCCTGCCTCAGTGGTCACCCTGCCTCGGTGGGAGATGGCCAGTATGTTGAAATTTTTGTTTAAAGTGAGCAGAAATTTCTTTGTGGACTGGTGCTCTGAGTGAGTCAGTCATCAGAGCTAGCCAGTATATAATGAGACTGTTAACATCAACTTTTCCAATTAGATATGCCTATAGCTTTTACATTTTCCACAGATTCAAGACAGAGAATAAATGGGGAACTCTTGGGGAAGAACTTCTCGATTGGAAAGGCCGCTTTACAAATTGTGTTGAAGGCTCCGACAGCTGGTATGACCTCTCTGCAAAAGGACATACACATTTCCAGGAGTGCCCTGGCAATCCTGTTGTCAACTGGAAAGAAAATGGATACCAAAATCTGCTTCATCATTTAAAGGTGCTAGTAATTATAAATGGCTATGAATTTATCACTGTCTTTTGGGATACTAAGCCAATCACTAGTGGATTCAAGACAAGATATTGTCTTAAATTTAGGTCATATTTTGAAGATCATTGTTTTGTTTACAAAACTAGGAGTCGACTTGTATAATGGGTATAAAATGTGAAACACTAAACTGCCTGGGCATAAGAGGTATAAAATACATAGATGTAAAACAAAGATCAAAAAAGGCATTTTGCTTGGAGGCTGTTTTTCACTTCTATAGAGAGTACATGGGACACCTTAGAATATATACTTGAGTACAGTAGGGCCCTGCTTTACGGCGTTTCGCTTTACGGCGTTCCGCTAATACGGTCATTTCAAATTATGACCAAAACTCGATATACGGCTCCCCCACCTGACTTTCTAATACGGTCACCGCGCCCCACCCTGTTTGTTTACATTCTCTGTGAGATCCAAGCACTAAGTATCCATTTTGTCTGGAAACTCCCAAATTTCAAGTGTTTTTAAGAGTTATTTCATATTTTATATATACTCTGATAATTATACTTATGTATACCTGTACCTAAATAAACTTACATACTGTGCTGGCATGCAGGTACACATGGAAATCAGTAAGAGTGTCTTATGTCTCCAGACGTCATATTAGTAATGATGATAATAATCATCGAGTCTCATTTAAATTCGTATATTACGTTAATATACACATTTTCATTAATCCATCTCTGATATTTTTTCAAAATTATATAATAAACACGATGCATAACATATAAATATGATAAATACACCCCACAGTAGAATAAATAAACATAAATAAGGAAAGAGGAAAGAGGAGTGATTGGTGGAATGATGAAGTAAAGGGTGTGATAAAAGAGAAAAAGGTAGCTTATGAGAGGTTTTTACAAAGCAGAAGTGTTATAAGAAGAGCAGAGTATATGGAGAGTAAAAGAAAGGTAAAGAGAGTGGTGAGAGAGTGCAAAAGGAGAGCAGATGATAGAGTGGGAGAGGCACTGTCAAGAAATTTTAATGAAAATAAGAAAAAATTTTGGAGTGAGTTAAACAAGTTAAGAAAGCCTAGGGAAAATATGGATTTGTCAGTTAAAAACAGAGTAGGGGAGTTAGTAGATGGGGAGATGGAGGTATTGGGTAGATGGCGAGAATATTTTGAGGAACTTTTAAATGTTAAGGAAGAAACAGAGGCAGTAATTTCATGCACTGGTCAGGGAGGTATACCATCTTTTAGGAGTGAAGAAGAGCAGAATGTAAGTGTGGGGGAGGTACGTGAGGCATTACGTAAAATGAAAGGGGGTAAAGCAGCTGGAACTGATGGGATCATGACAGAAATGTTAAAAGCAGGGGGGGATATAGTGTTGGAGTGGTTGGTACTTTTGTTTAATAAATGTATGAAAGAGGGGAAGGTACCTAGGGATTGGGCAGAGAGCATGTATAGTCCCTTTATATAAAGGGAAAGGGGACAAAAGAGACTGTAAAAATTATAGAGGAATAAGCTTACTGAGTATACCAGGAAAAGTGTACGGTAGGGTTATAATTGAAAGAATTAGAGGTAAGACAGAATGTAGGATTGCGGATGAGCAAGGAGGTTTTAGAGTGGGTAGGGGATGTGTAGATCAGGTGTTTACATTGAAGCATATATGTGAACAGTATTTAGATAAAGATAGGGAAGTTTTTATTGCATTTATGGATTTAGAAAAGGCATATGATAGAGTGGATAGAGGAGCAATGTGGCAGATGTTGCAAGTATATGGAATAGGTGGTAAGTTATTAAATGCTGTAAAGAGTTTTTATGAGGATAGTGAGGCTCAGGTTAGGGTGTGTAGAAGAGAGGGAGACTACTTCCCGGTAAAAGTAGGTCTTAGACAGGGATGTGTAATGTCACCATGGTTGTTTAATATATTTATAGATGGGGTTGTAAAGGAAGTAAATGCTAGGGTGTTTGGGAGAGGGGTGGGATTAAATTATGGGGAATCAAATTCAAAATGGGAATTGACACAGTTACTTTTTGCTGATGATACTGTGCTTATGGGAGATTCTAAAGAAAAATTGCAAAGGTTAGTGGATGAGTTTGGGAATGTGTGTAAAGGTAGAAAGTTGAAAGTGAACATAGAAAAGAGTAAGGTGATGAGGGTGTCAAATGATTTAGATAAAGAAAAATTGGATATCAAATTGGGGAGGAGGAGTATGGAAGAAGTGAATGTTTTCAGATACTTGGGAGTTGACGTGTCGGCGGATGGATTTATGAAGGATGAGGTTAATCATAGAATTGATGAGGGAAAAAAGGTGAGTGGTGCGTTTGAGGTATATGTGGAGTCAAAAAAACGTTATCTATGGAGGCAAAGAAGGGAATGTATGAAAGTATAGTAGTACCAACACTCTTATATGGGTGTGAAGCTTGGGTGGTAAATGCAGCAGCGAGGAGACGGTTGGAGGCAGCGGAGATGTCCTGTTTAAGGGCAATGTGTGGTGTAAATATTATGCAGAAAATTCGGAGTGTGGAAATTAGGAGAAGGTGTGGAGTTAATAAAAGTATTAGTCAGAGGGCAGAAGAGGGGTTGTTGAGGTGGTTTGGTCATTTAGAGAGAATGGATCACAGTAGAATGACATGGAAAGCATATAAATCTATAGGGGAAGGAAGGCGGGGTAGGGGTCGTCCTCGAAAGGGTTGGAGAGAGGGGGGTAAAGGAGGTTTTGTGGGTAAGGGGCTTGGACTTCCAGCAAGCGTGCGTGAGCGTGTTAGATAGGAGTGAATGGAGACGAATGGTACTTGGGACCTGACGATCTGTTGGAGTGTGAGCAGGGTAATATTTAGTGAAGGGATTCAGGGAAACCGGTTATTTTCATATAGTCGGACTTGAGCCCTGGAAATGGGAAGTACAATGCCTGCACTTTAAAGGAGGGGTTTGGGATATTGGCAGTTTGGAGGGATATGTTGTGTATCTTTATATGTTTATGCTTCTAGACTGTTGTATTCTGAGCACCTCTGCAAAAACAGTGATAATGTGCGAGTGTGGTGAAAGTGTTGAATGATGATGAAAGTATTTTCTTTTTGGGGATTTTCTTTCTTTTTTGGGTCACCCTGCCTCGGTGGGAGACGGCCGACTTGTTGAAAAAAAAAAAAAAAAAAAAAAAAAAATATGAGATGTGGTAGCAGACGGCTTGCACAAGTGATGCCATTTTAGAAATGATAATAATAATCACCGAGTCTCATTAAATGTCGTATATTATGTTAATATACACATTTTCATTAATCCATCCATGATATTTTTTTCAGAATTATATAATAAACATGAGATGTAACATATAAAGATGATAAATACACCTCACAATAGAATAAATAAACATAAATATGAGATGTGGTAGGAAGATAACTTGTACAAGTTACGGCAAGAATAAAAATTTTTCTAATCTAACATAAGAGAAAATGTGTTACTGGGGGTAACTGTAGAAAATTATTCCTTTCGTATGTATGTAAGTAAGTTTATTCAGGTATACACAAATACAGTTACATAGATTATCATACATAACAACATATGTGTAGAGAACCTAGGATAACCCAAAAAAGTCAGAGTGACTTATTTCCATTGCCTTCACTCAGGGCATCATTTCTTCTCAAAATGATGTTACATGAGAATGGGAGTGTTCTTCTTTATTTATTCTACCGTATCAATGTAGAGACAACTTGTACACAATGTGATTTGTACACAAACCAGACGTGTACACTGTTTTTGTTTACAAAACTTACCTTTGCCTGGTTTGTTTACATAACTCTGCACCTGTCCTCTCTCATGCACTCATTCTTTCTCTCTCATTTATTCGTTTTATCTCATTTACTTACTCCTGACCCTACATTAAGACTACAAATATTTTAAGGTAAGTATTGAGTGAACTGTATATACATTTTATTGCTCTGGGATGCTTAAATATCATAGAATATATGTGTGGGTGGGTTGGCCTGGTATGGTAGCCCGGCTGACTACCATACATACCACACTTGATTTTTTACAATAAATACTACTCATCTCACCCTAGATTAAGACTACAAATATTTTAAGGTAAGTAATGAGTAAACTGTATATGCATTTTATCGCTCTGGGATGCTTAAATGTAATAGAATATTATGTGGCCTGGTATGGTAGCCCGGCTGACTACCATACATACCTCACTTGATTTCTTACAATAAATACTACTTGTCTCACCCTAGATTAAGACTATAAATATTTTATGGTAAGTAATGAGTGCACTATGTGTGTATTGTACTTTTTTATTGTTTTTTGATGCCTGTTTCTATTGCTTACTTAATATATGTTAGTGTAAACTTATTATCTAGTGTTTGTATGCATTTATAAGTGGAAAAAAGGGTGTTCCACTTTACAGCGATTTCCGCTTTACAGCGGTAGCCTGGAACCTATCCTGCCGTATAAGTGGGGCCCTACTGTACAGTATTTGAACAACTGTAAAAGTCAGGTGGAGGAGTTTGTTATGGAAGAAGTATCTTGCAAGCTGAAAGGTGGTTGTCCCTGTTCCTGTATGTGACAACATTATACAGATATAGTGATAAGTAAATTTTTATTTTGCCAAATCCCTCTTTCTTAGCAAGCTCTCTGCAGGCTTATGTCACCATCATTTCTTGTATGCCATGTGTTTAATGTAGTACTCTATAGAAAAATGGTTTGGTGATACCAACAAGATTTGGAAAAAGACATTTATGTACAGTTCAGGACATTTATTAAAGGAGATGTTTTGCCACATGTGGCTTCTTCAGTTCTAATACAGAGATAACTAAGAAACCAGTATATATAGTGGCAGAAGTCAAGTGGAAATCCATGAGAGGGTGGTAGTAGTAGTACAACTGTGGTGAGATAGGTTTGAGAAGGACCTGTCAACATCAGAATGGGTAATATCCTGTTGATTAGCAATTTGGATATAGTGTAACATCTGGATTTTTGATGGATAATGTTTACTACTACTGCTGCTGCTAC